GGGGGCTCCCACCAGGTAAACCCACCACCCTGGAGCATTATGGGGCCCCCAACAGGTAAACTCCCCACCCTGGAGCATTATGGGGCTCCCACCAGGTAAACCCACCACCCTGGAGCATTATGGGGCTCCCACCAGGTAAACCCACCACCCTGGAGCATTATGGGGCTCCCACCAGGTAAACCCACCACCCTGGAGCATTATGGGGCTCCCACCAGGTAAACCCACCACCCTGGAGCATTATGGGGCTCCCACCAGGTAAACCCACCACCCTGGAGCATTATGGGGCTCCCACCAGGTAAACTCCCCACCCTGGAGCATTATGGGGCCCCCAACAGGTAAACTCCCCACCCTGGAGCATTATGGGGCTACCAACAGGTAAACCCACCACCTTGGAGCATTATGGGGCCCCCAACAGGTAAACTCCCCACCCTGGAGCATTATGGGGCTCCCACCAGGTAAACCCACCACCCTGGAGCATTATGGGGCTCCCACCAGGTAAACCCACCACCCTGGAGCATTATGGGGCTCCCACCAGGTAAACCCACCACCCTGGAGCATTATGGGGCTCCCACCAGGTAAACCCACCACCCTGGAGCATTATGGGGCTCCCACCAGGTAAACCCACCACCCTGGAGCATTATGGGGCTACCAACAGGTAAACCCACCACCCTGGAGCATTATGGGGCTCCCACCAGGTAAACCCACCACCCTGGAGCATTATGGGGGGACCTAACTTGACCTTTGACACATTATAATCATTCAGGGTATTTATGGTTGGCCACTTCCCCTCATCAATTATTTCCACTCACCCACTCACTTATCAATTATTCTTTCTCTACTTGTTCTCTCTCATCAATTCTCTCTCGTTGCGCTTTCATATATACTCACAAATACCTTCTATATATATATAATCGCCAACAGAACCTAAACATGCTTCATGCAGGTCGGCGTTCAATCCCCACAGACCGTCCCAAAGTGATGGGTCACCATTCCTTTCCCACCGTCCCATCCCAAATCCTTATCCTGACCCCTTCCCAGTGCTATATAGCCGTAATGGCTTGGTGCTTCCTCCTGATAATTCCCTCCCTCTCACCAATTCCATGTATACAACTTTCCATACAATATACATATACATGTTCCATGCTATTTAATTAGTAATTCATACGTTAACATTAAGGTGTTTTAAGTTTGCTAGTTCGTCGTATTTTAAACGTAATGGTTAGGGGGAAATGAGCCTATACGAAGCGCCCAGATTAACCAGACTGCTGCTGGCTGCGCGAACCAACAGTCTAAATTATCAAAACCTGTAAACAGGCCTGGGGCCAGATTCACGAAAGCACTTACGAACCTGTACATCTTTCCTCAATCTTTGGCGGCTTTGTTTACAATTATTAAACAGTTAATGAGCTCCGAAGCACCAGGAGGCTGTTTATAACAATAACAACAGTTGATTGGCAAGTTTTCATGCTTGTAAACTGTTTAATAAATGTAACCAAAGCCGTCAAAGATTGAGGAAAGATGTACACGTTCGTAAGTGCTTGCGTAAGTGCTTCGTGAATCTGACCCCAGGTGCGTGAGTGCTTGCGTAAGTGCTTTCGTGAATCTGGACCCTGGACATGAACTACTCATACTGCCAATCCTCTCACCTAATACGTTCGTGCGTATTAGGCAAGAGGATTAGCTTTTTTTTAACAGAATCATCCAATCCGTTAAAAATGCGACGCATTAATACAATTAAAAGCACCGAAATATTGACGCTTTTTCATGCACATATTAAGGATTATCTAGCTAAAAAAAAAGGTTAGTAAAAAAGGTTGCGCTGATAAAAGGGGGGAGGATAGGGGGGGGGGTAACGCAATTAGCGTGCAGGTGTGAAATGATTGACGGACGAACTCAACTTCACTCTGGTGCACCCAGAGTGTGCACGCACTTGCGTGCATGGCGTTCGCGCGTGGCATTGTTAACTACTCTGACACTGAAAAAGTTCTTTTCTAACGTCCCTGTGGCTCATGTGGGTACTCAGTTTCCACCTGTGTCCCCTTGTTCGTGTCCCACCAGTGTTAACTAGTTTGCCTTTATCTTTATAGCTTTTTTTTACAAAAAAGTTGCATTGTTTAGGTTTTTTAACGAAAAAAGTTGCATTGTTTACGTTTTTAACAAAAAAGTGGCATTGTTTATGTTTTTTTAACAAAAAAGTTACATGGTTTATGTTTTTTTAACAAAAAAGTTACATTGTTTACCTTTTTTAACAAAAAAATTGCATTGTTTACGTTTTTTTTAACAAAAAAGTTGCATTGTTTACGTTTTTTTCACAAAAAAGTTGCATTGTTTACGTTTTTTAACAAAAAAGTTGCATTGTTTACATTTTAAAACAAAATAGCTGGATTTTTACTTTCTTATTTAGACAAAACAGTCGCATTTGTTACGCTTCTAGTTAGGCAAAACAGCTGAAATTTTTACGGAGTGACAAATGAAGAGAACGTAAGCGGCCTTCATAAGCAACGACAGAGAAAGTGCTCATCAGAATACCTAGAACATACCTGTAGAGGGTTACGTGGGTTGTTCAACTCCCCGAGCCGCGCCCGGGGCGAGGCTTGAATACTAACAGCACTGTTTCGCTTCCCGTTATACGAAGGGCAACGGGGACGCTGAAGGCAGCTAAGAGAAGAGTAACAGAAGGGCAACAGGAGAGAAAAAAAGGAGAAAGGCAACAGGAGATGGGAAACAGCTGATGGGCAACAGAATGGCAACATACCTAAAAAAATATATATATATGTAGTTCCAAAGAAAAACAGCGGTCCCAAAGTAAACACAGAAGCCCCAAAACAAACACAAAAGCCCCAAAGCAAACACAGAAGCCCCCAAGGAAACAGGCCCTAATTTTACCCTATGTTTTTAGCGAGGCCCAAGCCACTCAGGTCCCACCCAGGGCCTCAGTTGACAGCAGTTCCCCCTAAAATCAATGGCAGTTATGGGGCATGAAATGGTTGATGGGGAATGCAGGACCCTGAGGCAGGCTAGGAGGAGTCTGGTCAAAGGGAAGAGAGAGAGAGAGAGAGAGAGAGAGAGAGAGAGAGAGAGAGAGAGAGAGAGAGAGAGAGAGAGAGAGAGAGAGAGAGAGAGAGAGAGAGAGAGAGAGAGAGAGAAAGAGAGAGACAGAGACATTAGACAGCCACAGAAAAAACAGAAGAATTAAGAGCACTAAAAGGTTACATTCACTTGAAAACTGTTGGATAATATATTAAACCACAAAGGAAAGACATCCATTTACAAATTTAATATGAACACTGATATCATTTTTCTTAGGCACTTCGTCCATTCACATATTTCAGTCTAATCTCGCCCTGCGCCCTTCTGGGGAATGCAAGATCGGAGCTTTTACTGTGCAAGAGAGAGAGAAAGTTGATGGGATCATTTGAGTTATAACTCGGTGTAGATTTTTAATAAAATAGACATGGCATCACAATTCGAATTGGATTAATTGTGAATTGAAAAGGATCTTTCCAGTTAACAGGCCAGCCAGCCAATTAGCCAGCCAGCCAACCAACCAGCCAGCCAGCCAGCCAGCCAACCAGCCAGCCAACCAGCCAACCAGCCAGCCACCCAGTCAGCTAGCCAACCAACCAGCCAGCATGCAAGCCAGCCAGCCAACTAGCCAGCCAAACGGTCAGCCAAATGGCCAGTCAACTGGCCAGCCAGCCAGCTAACTAGCCAGCCAGCCAGCCAGCCAGCTAACTAGCCAGCCAGCCAGCTAACTAGCCAGCCAGCCAATTAACCAGCCAACTAGCCAGCCACACAACAACCCAACTAGCCAGCCAGCCAGCCAACCAACCAACCAGCCAACCAACCAACCAACCAGCCAACCAACCAACCAGCCAGCCAGCCAGCCAGCTAGCTCAACATATACAACCATCACCCACCTCCTTTGAGCGGATGAGCTAGAGGTTGAGGGTATTGGAGGAGGGACGCATTCATACATCAGGGGCCCGCCGGAGTCCCCGGGTTCTAATGCCGGGTGCAGGAAGCCGGGGGCCCCATAAACACACTATGCTTTACTGTAATGTTCACTACCATGCCAACTGATGCTGCAGGGAAGTTAGGGGTAACTCTGCCAGAGAAGGTAGGGGTAACTCTGCCAGGGAACGGTAGGGGTAATGCTGCCAGGGAACGGTAGGGGTAACTCTGCCAGGGAACGGTAGGGGTAACGCTGCCAGAGAAGGTAGGGATAACTCTGCCAGAGAAGGTAGGGATAACTCTGCCAGAGAAGGTAGGGGTAACTCTGCCAGGGAACGGTAGGGGTAACTCTGCCAGGGAACAGTAGGGGTAACGCTGCCAGAGAAGGTAGGGGTAACTCTGCCAGGAAACGTCCCTACATTTATTTCCCCTCCCTGCCTCACGACAGAATTTCGGAAAAACGTTCTTTCCCCACACCTCCATAAAAGACCCCTATTTGTATAGGGAAAGGCACCAAACCCAAACTCCGTTATCTCCCGCCAAAGGGCCTGTAAGAGTGCTTGATGCTGGTGGCCCCTAGCTTACGAAACCTGTACATCTTTCCTCGATCATAGCGGCTTAGTTTGCATTCATTAAACAGTTTATGAGTTCCGAAACGCTATGAGATTGTCTATGACAACCTCATAGCGTTAAAGGGAGCTAAAGGGTTTAACACTAAAGGGAACTATCAGGGGAAAGCATCAAGCCATTACCAATATAAACATAGCACTGGGAAGGAGTCAGGATAAAGATTTGGGATGGGACGGAGGGAATGAATAGTAGTACCCAACCACTTTGGGACGGTCAGGGATTGAACACCGACCTGCATGAAGCGTCGCTCTACCGTCCAGCCCAAGTGGTTAAGGCTGAGAGATGTGAAGATGGCAAAATGGTTGAGAAGTGACGCCCTCTGACCTTTCACCCGAGCAGACTAGGTCAATTAATTCACCCTGAGGCCACTACCGGGGCTCCTCAACGTTATATTCATCTGAGATACACAAAAGCCGATGAGTCCGCAGAACATCAGTACCAAAGATCCATCAGATACCAAAGGTCCATCAGATACCAAAGGTCCATCAGGTACCAAAGGTCCATCAGATACCAAAGGTCCATCAGATACCAAAGATCCATCAGATACCAAAGATCCATCAGATACCAAAGATCCATCAGATACCAAAGGTCCATCAGGTACCAAAGGTCCATCAGATACCAAAGGTCCATCAGATACCAAAGGTCCATCAGATACCAAAGATCCATCAGATACCAAAGATCCATCAGGTACCAAAGGTCCATCAGATACCAAAGATCCATCAGGTACCAAAGGTCCATCAGTACCAAAGATCCATCAGATACCAAAGGTCCATCAGATACCAAAGATCCATCAGATACCAAAGGTCCATCAGGTACCAAAGGTCCATCAGGTACCAAAGATCCATCAGATACCAAAGGTCCATCAGTATCAAAGATCCATCAGATACCAAAGGTCCATCAGATACCAAAGATCCATCAGATACCAAAGGTCCATCAGATACCAAAGATCCATCAGATACCAAAGATCCATCAGGTACCAAAGATCCATCAGGTACCAAAGGTCCATCAGGTACCAAAGATCCATCAGATACCAAAGGTCCATCAGATACCAAAGATCCATCAGATACCAAAGGTCCATCAGTACCAAAGATCCATCAGGTACCAAAGGTCCATCAGTACCAAAGGTCCATCAGATACCAAAGATCCATCAGATACCAAAGGTCCATCAGATACCAAAGATCCATCAGATACCAAAGGTCCATCAGGTACCAAAGGTCCATCAGGTACCAAAGATCCATCAGATACCAAAGGTCCATCAGTATCAAAGATCCATCAGATACCAAAGGTCCATCAGATACCAAAGATCCATCAGATACCAAAGGTCCATCAGATACCAAAGATCCATCAGATACCAAAGATCCATCAGGTACCAAAGATCCATCAGGTACCAAAGGTCCATCAGGTACCAAAGATCCATCAGATACCAAAGGTCCATCAGATACCAAAGATCCATCAGATACCAAAGGTCCATCAGTACCAAAGATCCATCAGGTACCAAAGGTCCATCAGTACCAAAGGTCCATCAGATACCAAAGATCCATCAGATACCAAAGGTCCATCAGATACCAAAGATCCATCAGATACCAAAGGTCCATCAGTACCAAAGGTCCATCAGTACCAAAGGTCCATCAGTACCAAAGGTCCATCAGATACCAAAGATCCATCAGATACCAAAGGTCCATCAGATACCAAAGATCCATCAGATACCAAAGGTCCATCAGATACCAAAGGTCCATCAGATACCAAAGATCCATGAGATACCAAAGATCCATCAGATACCAAAGATCCATCAGATACCAAAGATCCATCAGATACCAAAGATCCATCAGATACCAAAGATCCATCAGATACCAAAGGTCCATCAGATACCAAAGATCCATCAGATACCAAAGATCCATCAGATACCAAAGATCCATCACATACCAAAGATCCATCAGATACCAAAGATCCATCAGATACCAAAGGTCCATCAGTACCAAAGATCCATCAGTACCAAAGATCCATCAGGTACCAAAGGTCCATCAGTACCAAAGATCCATCAGGTACCAAAGGTCCATCAGTACCAAAGATCCATCAGGTACCAAAGGTCCATCAGTACCAAAGATCCATCAGGTACCAAAGGTCCATCAGTACCAAAGATCCATCAGGTACCAAAGGTCCATCAGATACCAAAGATCCATCAGGTACCAAAGGTCCATCAGTACCAAAGATCCATCAGGTACCAAAGGTCCATCAGTACCAAAGATCCATCAGGTACCAAAGGTCCATCAGTACCAAAGGTCCACCAGATATTGTCTGTCAAAAAAAAGTATTTGTGTGTACGTCTGATACCATACTACTTGTGTAAAGGAGGAAATCTATATGTTTATCTCTCAGAATGTTTGGTAATATGTTTATTGTTTGTGATGTGTGTCTATGTATATATTAACACGATGTACTGAACGGGGTGAGAATAGCTTGAGCTACCTCATCCCTTTGTGTGTATTTTACATCAATAAACTTATTTCAATTTCAATTTCCATCAGATACCAAAGTACCAATCCAAAGTGCCCAACAGGTACCAAAGGGGCCTATCACACCTATCACGGTGATGAACGAACACTTTGAAATTGATTTTTGTAATTTGGAGTGCTGAAGGCTGGTAGTTTTGGGGAGGTGGTTAAGGGTGATATAGGGCAGTGGTTAAGGGTGATATAGGGCGGCGGTTAAGGGTGATATAGGGCAGTGGTTAAGGGTGATATAGGCCGATGGTTAAGGGTGATATAGGCCGATGGTTAAGGGTGATATAGGCCGGTGGTTAAGGGTGATATAGGCCGGTGGTTAAGGATGATATAGGCCGGTGGTTAAGGGTGATATAGGCCGGTGGTTAAGGGTAATATAGGCTGGTGGTTAAGGGTGATATAGGCCGGTGGTTAAGGGTGATATAGGCCGGTGGTTAAGGGTGATATAGGCCGGTGGTTAAGGGTGATATAGGCCGGTGGTTAAGGGTGATATAGGCCGGTGGTTAAGGATGATATAGGCCGGTGGTTAAGGGTGATATAGGCCGGTGGTTAAGGGTGATATAGGCCGGTGGTTAAGGGTGATATAGGGAGGTGGTTAAGGATGATATAGGCCGGTGGTTAAGGGTGATATAGGGCAGTGGTTAAGGGTGATATAGGGCAGTGGTTAAGGATGATATAGGCTGGTGGTTAAGGGTGATATAGGCTGGTGGTTAAGGATGATATAGGCCGGTGGTTAAGGGTGATATAGGCTGGTGGTTAAGGGTGATATAGGGCAGTGGTTAAGGGTGATATAGGCTGGTGGTTAAGGGTGATATAGGGCAGTGGTTAAGGATGATATAGGGCAGTGGTTAAGGATGATATAGGCCGGTGGTTAAGGATGATATAGGCCGGTGGCTAAGGGTGATATAGGCCGATGGTTAAGGGTGATATAGGCTGGTGGTTAAGGGTGATATAGGCCGGTGGTTAAGGGTGATATAGGCCGGTGGTTAAGGGTGATATAAGGCGGTGGTTAAGGGTGATATAGGCTGGTGGTTAAGGGTAATATAGGCTGGTGGTTAAGGGTGATATAGGCCGGTGGTTAAGGGTGATATAGGCTGGTGGTTAAGGGTGATATAGGGTAGTGGTTAAGGGTGATATAGGCCGGTGGTTAAGGGTGATATAGGGTGGTGGTTAAGGGTGATATAGGGTAGTGGTTAAGGGTGATATAGGCCGGTGGTTAAGGGTGATATAGGGTAGTGGTTAAGGGTGATATAGGCCGGTGGTTAAGGGTGATATAGGGTGGTGGTTAAGGGTGATATAGGCCGGTGGTTAAGGGTAATATAGGCTGGTGGTTAAGGGTGATATAGGCTGGTGGTTAAGGGTGATATAGGCTGGTGGTTAAGGGTAATATAGGCAGGTGGTTAAGGGTGATATAGGCTGGTGGTTAAGGGTGATATAGGCTGGTGGTTAAGGGTAATATAGGCAGGTGGTTAAGGGTGATATAGGCTGGTGGTTAAGGGTGATATAGGCCGGTGGTTAAGGGTGATATAGGCTGGTGGTTAAGGGTGATATAGGCTGGTGGTTAAGGGTGATATAGGCCGGTGGTTAAGGGTGATATAGGCCGGTGGTTAAGGGTGATATAGGCTGGTGGTTAAGGGTAATATAGGCAGGTGGTTAAGGGTGATATAGGTTGGTGGTTTAGGGTGATATAGGCCGGTGGTTAAGGGTGATATAGGGAGGTGGTTAAGGATGATATAGGGCGGTGGTTAAGGGTGATATAGGCAGGTGGTTAAGGGTGATATAGGGAGGTGGTTAAGGATGATATAGGCCGGTGGTTAAGGGTGATATAGGGAGGTGGTTAAGGATGATATAGGCCGGTGGTTAAGGGTGATATAGGGAGGTGGTTAAGGATGATATAGGCCGGTGGTTAAGGATGATATAGGGCGGTGGTTAAGGGTGATATAGGCCGGTGGTTAAGGGTGATATAAGGCGGTGATTAAGGATGATATAGGCCGGTGGTTAAGGGTGATATAGGCCGGTGGTTAAGGATGATATAGGGCGGTGGTTAAGGGTGATATAGGGAGGTGGTTAAGGATGATATAGGGCGGTGGTTAAGGGTGATATAGGCCGGTGGTTAAGGGTGATATAGGGAGGTGGTTAAGGATGATATAGGCCGGTGGTTAAGGGTGATATAGGGTAGTGGTTAAGGGTGATATAGGGTAATGGTTAAGGGTGATATAGGCCAGTGGTGGCCACAAGAAACATTTACCCCCTCACACGTCCTGAGAGCCGGCCATGACATCAAAGCAACCTCCGCGACACGTAAAAAAACCACTCCCTGTATATTTTTTTTACCTCGCTATCGCGAGAAAAAGGGGACCGCAATATCATTTTTGACGCCGCTTCGAGTCCCAGCACAAAAAAAAAATACACCATCCCCTCAGGGACATGATTTATCAAACCCTTTACGGAACCTGTACATCTTTGACCATAACAGCTTCGTTTAAATTTATAAATCAGTCTACAGGCATCATAACCGGAGGTTATTCTTGCTATAAACAACCTCTTACCGTTCAAAACAAATAAAGCCGCCATGATCGAGGAAAGATGTACAGGTTTCGCAAGTGCGTATTTAAGTCCTTGAAGACTGGTGGTGGCCTTGGGTTTCCAGGATCAAATTTCAAACCAATTACAGCCTGGAACTCGATTCTGAGTGAGTGATCAAGCTGTCTATGCCGTCTGGCGGCCGGTACAGACAAGCCTGATATGTTGAGTATACTGTTGCTAGGCGGTATGTTGCATATACCGTTGCTACGTGATATCCGGGTATACCACAGCTACGTGGTATCTGGGTATACCTCAGCTACGTGATATCGAGGTATACCACAGCTACGTGATATCTGAGTATACCACAGCTATGTGATATCTGGGTATACCTCAGCTACGTGATATCTGAGTATACCTCAGCTACGTGATATCTGAGTATATCACAGCTACGTGATATCTTGGTATATACCACAACTACGTGATATCTGGGTATACCTCAGCTACGTGATATCTGGGTATACCTCAGCTACGTGATATCTGGGTATAGCTCAGCTACGTGATGTGCTGGTATACTGTTGAGGTGGGGAAGGGTTGAGTATATCGTTGCAAGTGCTGTGCAGCATATATTGTTGCAAGGTTAAATATATACTGAGTATACCGTTTGCTACCTTACCTTACGGTGGCTCTCAGGATCAACCAGGCTGTTGGACGCAGCTGCCCGCAGCATGACGTACGAATCCCAGCCTGGTTGATCAGGAATCCTTTAACGGTGTTTATCAAGTTCTTCCTAAGGTTTGCCAACGTCAAGATAATGGTCAGTTTAAAGTGCCCTTATCCTAACCTACCAGAGGACCCAAAACAGAAAACGGGACAGTATGTTACTTTCGCCAGCCGCTTCCATTTTCTAGTACGACAATTTTTTGTTTTTTTGTAACGCATACGAGGGAAAAGCGACGTTCTTTGTGTGAGGAGAAGTTGGGTCGTGTCTATGATGTTGAGAGAGTTCTCTCTCAGCGTACCTATTGCCCCTCTGCTTTTCAACGGGGTATTCTGCACATCCTGCCATGCCTCCTAATCTCAGGTGATGTTATTTTCGTGTTGACCAGACCACACACTAGAAGGTGAAGGGACGACGACGTTTCGATCCGTCCTGGACCATTCTCAAGTCATTCTCACAATCGACTTGAGAATGGTCCAGGACGGACCGAAACGTCGTCGTCCCTTCACCTTCTAGTGTGTGGTCTGGTCAACATACTTTAGCCACGTTATTGTGACTCATCGCCTGCATGTTATTTCCGTCTTTGCTATGCGACATGCTAAGTATATTGGCCAGGCTATAAAAACTTCTTTACGGCAAGACTACAAAGAGGTGACATTTTATTGCCAAAGTTTCCATATTAGGTAAAAGCATAGGCCAATAGTTGGTGACATGAAGTCTATGAGTTAAGAAACTGGGGCCCAGATTCACGAAGCAGTTACGCAAACACTTACGAACCTGTACATCTTTTCTCAATCTTTGGCGGCTTTGTTTACAATTATTAAACAGTTAATGAGCTCCGAAGCACCAGGAGGCTGTTTATAACAATAACAACAGTTGATTGGCAAGTTTTCATGCTTGTAAACTGTTTAATAAATGTAACCAAAGCCGTCAAAGATTGAGGAAAGATGTACACGTTCGTAAGTGCTTGCGTAAGTGCTTCGTGAATCTGACCCCAGGTGCGTGAGTGCTTGCGTAAGTGCTTTCGTGAATCTGGCCCCAGGCTTGTTCTCTTCTACCTATTTCTCTCTCCTTTTGCTACCAGAGCCCAAACCTCTTGCTTGTTTTATGATTCCAATTCTTTCTTGAAGAAATACAGTTTAACACCGAAAGCTTTAGATTTTTTTGGGTGGACTATTCGGAGATTAAGCAAAGTGTTTCAATTTTGACGTTTATCTAATCGTGAGAAGTCTTGGGATTTATCTTAATGGGAAATAATAATTAATTTTAGCTTCAATAACTATAGGGCACTTGTGATAACTCACTCAAACGGACAGACATCCATGCTCACACGAATGGATAGACGGCTGAACTCACTCCAACGGACGGCCACATTCGCTCGAACGAATGACCGTACTCACTCGAACGAATGACCGTACTCACTCGAACGAATGACCGTACTCACTCGAACGAATGACCGTACTCACTCGAACGAATGACCGTACTCACTCGAACGAATAACCATACTCACTCGAACGAATGACCGTACTCACTCGAACAAATAACCGTACTCACTCGAATGAATGACCGTACTCACTCGAACGAATAACCGTACTCACTCGAATGAATGGCAGTACTCGCTCGAACAAATGGCAGTACTCGATTGAACGAATGGCAGTACTCGCTCGAATGAATGGCCGTACTCACTCGAACAGACAACTGTACACAAACGGAACGACCGTACTCACTCGAATGGACTTTCGTACTCACTTGAACGGACGGCCGTATTCACCAACACGTAATCATTCCAGCTAAAATACCTTACCTGCAAAGAGAAAAAAAACTGGTATTAATAGACTGATCAACAGTACATACCTGATGTT